TGCGACGCCTTTCATGAAGTTTGAAAGTCCTGTAGTAAATTCCTTTTTCAATTTTGACATAAGATACTGTGACATGAAACAGTATTTCCATTGTAGAAATGCTCTGGTTCAGACTGACGTAATCATATACCATACGAAATTTGAGATTCAATAAGCACATTTTGGTTAACAATTTTTTTTTCTTTCATGCAAACAAAACTGTGGGATTTTGTCATTATTAATGTTCACCACATGCGCTTGCTATTTGCCTATTCTCACTGATTCACCCTCACTGTTCATTCCGCCGTGAGTGTGGCGGCAGATTCTTGCTCCTCCATAGTAGGCAGAAGTTGCCTGGTTGCAGTGCAAAAGTTGCTGGAGTTGCAGCGCCAGTTGCCTGGTGTGTTGGGCATGACCACCAGAGAGCAGAGGCAGCGGTCCCTGAAGCAGTGAAAAGCCGATGACTCCGAAGACCAATTGCTCTGGACTAGCTGTGATGGCTGATGTGGTCACTGATGATTGCAAACTTAGGGCTCCGCCTTTTATACCATGCTTGATGGAGGAGCGAAACTTGCAGTTGCGATTGTGAGCCCTGATTGGCTAGTGCTTGTAATGATCTGAATGTGGGCTAGACAGCGAGTGCTGTATAAATGCGAGCATTGGAAGCAATGTGATTGGTTAGCGAGCGTGATGGTGAAAAGTGAGCTGGACAGTGGGTGCTGTATAAATATGAGAGCTGACAGCAATGTGCAAAACAAGGTTCTCCACACGAGCGGCAATTTTCCAAGGCGCACACTAGGGCTCGGATTTCTATGACCTAAAAACTTTGAAAATATGCATGCATTTATGCCCTAAATATGGCAAAATATGACCTAAGATATGACAGAATGGCCCTCAAAAAATAAGTAAATATTTAATAAAAATTCCTAAGAATGGCAATTTATTAAGAAGTTTACAAAGTTATTTTGTCCTGAATAAATATCTTTAAGCTCTGAAGCATCGATCACAGCACATTGCTGACCCCATAAAGAGAAAAGCTGAATGGCGTTTTATTGAAAAGTGTACAAAGTTATTTTTTCTGAATAAATGTCTTTAAGCCGTGAAGCATCCATCACAACACAATGCTGACCCTGTAAAGAGAAAACATGAACGAAAGTATTGTTTATTTTGGCGTGAAAAGTAAAGTAAAGTGTGCTAATAGTTGCAGGTAAATAATTTGTACGGTACCTTAATCTTCTTTTTCAGTAGAGTTGCACTGAATGACAACATGCATTTTCAAATTCTCGAACTTGAAGGACCTCCGATTGTCACTAACAATGGCCTTGTATTTGGAGAAACTCCTTTCTACGTCGCAAGATGTCACAGGGGCATACTTAAAACAAGTCAAATCACTTG